ACCGCACGCCATTTCCAGTCCTCCTGCTTAGTTTCCAAGTTTCTTTTTTTTTTTTTCCTTTCCTCCAATTTTTGAAGATTTTTTGTGCTTAATATTCATAATAAACTTCGAATTTTGATCAAGTATCGTGATTATACGAAACAGAAAAAGTTTTGAATTCACATAACGATGACTACAATGGAGAGTTTGATTGGATTGGTTAACAGGATACAGATGGCTTGCACAGCCCTCGGCGATTATGGGGGCGACGATGAAGCTTTTTCTTCCCTCTGGGATGCCCTCCCTTCTGTTGCCGTTGTCGGTGGCCAGGTCCGTATTTCTATTAACCATCTCCTCCAGAAGTTGAGCCTTGAAATTTCGGTCATGTAAAAAGAGAGAAATGATTAATTTGTGGACGCATTGATTTTTTTGTCAGACTCCAGTTGTGGGATTAGTAGTAATGTTGTTGGTCCTGTATTTACTTCGTGTAGTGATTTGTGGGCTTATATTCATAACTTTTGCGTGATCATTTTACTATTGTTTTTCTGTTCTTTCTGGGTTTGGACGGAAAACAGAGTTCAGGAAAGTCATCCGTGCTGGAAAGTATAGTAGGGAGAGATTTCCTTCCACGAGGCTCCGGTTAGTTTCTTCATTTTTTCGCACAGATCATAATTCAAGAAACAGAATTTGAATTGAAATATGATACATATTTTGTATTGGTGCTTTGTTCGTGCGCGCTCTATGCAGGGATTGTTACGAGGCGGCCATTGGTGTTGCAACTACACAAGATCGACGAAGGACAGGAAGAATATGCAGAATTTGCACATTTGCCAGACAGGCGATTTACTGATTTTTGTATGTGAAGGATCACCCTTTTCAGATTTTTAATTTGTACTTCCATTTTTACTGTTCAATATCATGCCTCTTTACATATAGATTTATCATGAAATTGAGCAATACTTTGAGAGAATTATGCAGTTATTTCTCCTGTTTGATAGGCGGATCATATATATTTGGATGCATGACTTGGAAGAGCAAACTATAATTCTGTCATTTCCTTATTCTTTTGCAGCCTTGGTTCGCAAGGAAATTCAGGATGAAACAGATAGAGTCACAGGGAAGACCAAACAGATTTCTCCCATTCCTATTCACCTCAGTATTTATTCCCCCAATGGTATTTTTCATCTGCTCAATTTCTTTTCGTTCTGCTGAAAGAAAGGCATGTGTAGTTCTAATTTTTACATTACCTAATACAGTTTAACTGGATTATAGACGAGGTCTCTTGGTATATTTTACACAACCAAATTAGGTAGTTGTGTGCAACATATATTATACCTGTTATTCTACATGGAAATGATTGGATCATGAAAGGAAAACTTGTCTATGAGATAGCCGTAACAAAAATGAGGACTTTACACCAACAAGAAGATGTAGAGCAAGTTTATAATAAATTAAGGCAAGTACAACAAGAAGATCGTGCATTGACTTAAAGTTCTTTTTCACAATAGTGATGTCCTAGTATAATACAGTAAAACAGGCAAGAATAGGATGAGAGAACAAAATTAACGTGGTTAGTTGTTGCTGCAGAACATAGGATTTCATTAGCTCTTTCGACAGATACAGAGTCAGATTAAACTAAATGGCAAGAAAAGATTATGTAGCTGATACAATTCTAAAGGGAACAAGGCTAGCTAGTTGGTTTTTCTAAACGACTCGGTCTGAGTCCCTCTGATGCGCTGTGTTTTGTCTTGCAGTTGTCAACTTAACTCTAATTGATCTCCCTGGTTTGACCAAAGTTGCTATTGGTACGTGCTAATTTGTTTTTGTCAAATCACAACTAAAATTTTCATTGGCGTGAACGTCAGCCAATAAAAAGATGTTTGTTCTTTTCAGAGGGACAACCTGAAAGTATAGCACAAGATATTGAAGCTATGGTTCGATCTTTTGTTGACAAGGTGAAGATGATAGTTTCTCTTTAATGTACTACATTATCACTTCCCCAGTTCTAATTGTCACTGGACTGCAACTCAAGTTAATTGTTCCATAAATCAACTATTATAGGTGTTTAGAGAATGAATATTCACAGGAATATGCTTGCCTTTGTTCCTTTCCTAATTATATTTTGACGAGTATTCACATGGATACAACTCCAATGAACTCCTCAAAAACATGTATTTGGAAAACATATAGACTGATTTTTTTTTTTGGCTTGTTTCAATGAACAAATTTGTGAGGATGTTAATAGTACATAATTCATCTATTATATTGTGTGCTATGTTGAATACGAACTTTTATATATATTGTCACTGTAATGGAGTTTGTGCATATGCAGCCCAACTGCATCATACTAGCTATATCTCCGGCAAACCAAGATATTGCCACATCTGATGCTATTAAACTTTCCAGGGAAGTCGACCCGATGGGTATGTTTGCTTTCCTTTTGATAACCTAAATTTTGGAACGGTAGAAGCTGTGTGCTTGCCATTTTTATGGAGCTTTATTTGCAATCATTGTAGGTGAACGCACATTTGGAGTGCTGACAAAATTAGATTTGATGGACAAAGGAACTAATGCTCTGGACGTGAGAACTCACCTCGCTCCTCTCTCTCACACACACACACACACCCAACACACCCTAATATACTCCACTAACTATTCTACGTGTACATGATTTTTTGCAGAAAGGTTGACAGATGCATGCATGGCTGTCAACCTACCTGTACAAAAATTCTGTAGATATAGCAGAATTAGTACTCCACACAAACAAGTAGATTATAGACGCATGCATCTTTCAACCTATCTACATGTAGCAGAATTAATACCCCACTTAAACAAGTAGATATAAGGATTCTTATTTTTCCTCTTTGGAGTACTGTGAAACAGAATATGGTATGTAAAGTGATGCAAGAAAAACGAAGTTCCGAAATTATCAAGCTTTCCTAATTGATGCCTGAGTATTGTTAATTACATAATTTTACAAATTTATTTGTTTTTTTTTTTTTTTCATTTTTTATCTTTGTCTTCCTATTCTAGAAATATACTTTATCAAAAAATCCTATTTGTTTCGTTATCCGGTTTCCACCTCCCATCCCAACTCCCTCGTTTTGGTTGCTGCTAATCATGCGTAACGTGTTGACATTCAAAGGAAGTTTTTTTCCCCCCAGATAAAGAAAAAAAGAAAACCTCATTAACTTATTTATTTATTATTATTATTATTATTTTTTGGGTTTCAACTAAGCCTCTTCTCTACCAACAGGTTCTTGAAGGAAGATCTTATCGTTTACAGCAACCCTGGGTTGGAGTTGTGAATCGTTCACAAGCAGATATCAACAGAAGTGTGGATATGATACTTGCACGACAAAAAGAAAAAGAATATTTTGCCACAAGTCCTGATTATGGGCACTTGGCTAGTAAAATGGGTTCAGAGTATCTTGCTAAACTTCTCTCAAAGGTATGTCTCTGTTTCTCTTTTCATATCATGAAGTCTGTACTAAATTAGATAGTGGAGTGATAGGTGAATTTTTTTATTTCAGCACTTGGAATCCGTAATTAGGGCAAGAATACCGAGTATCACCTCATTGATTAACAAAACCATCGAGGAACTTGAATCTGAGTTGGACCACCTTGGAAGGCCTGTCGCTATTGATGCAGGGGTAAGCTGTGCATTCCTGATTGAGATTTAAGAATTGAAATCTAGCAATTTTATCAGTAACTGAGATGTGTTTCAGGCTCAATTATATACCATTTTGGATCTTTGTCGTGCTTTTGACCGGATATTCAAGGAGCATCTGGAAGGAGGGTAATGGAATTTTTGTCCTACTTCTTTATCATATTATGAATCTTCAAGTTTTTTTCTTTAAGACCCAATAATTTTCCTGTCATAAATGCTTCTTTGAAGAAGTTAAATTGTATCCATACTGCATGCTTCTAAGTGAATTCACTTTAGAACTTATGAGAGTATATAAAGAACGTGTCAAGTAAAAAAGAGAGAGAAATATTTGTATCACCTCTATTACATAACCCTGAAGACAGCTTTTAGACTCCATGCCTGGGCTACCATTCTATTTCTATCTACCTAGTAAGCCCATGGCATAAGCAATACTACTGCATCCTCTGACTGATATTTGGCTAGCTCTCAACTGAAATACAGACAGATTTAGTTTTAATGCACATACGAGCAATAAAATGACCTGTTGACATTTTAATGCTTTCTTGCCACTTCTTTGTTTACGAACTTGCGGCATCATTTAACCCTTGTGTTAATTCGCTGTACATGTTCACTATTTCAGCCGACCAGGAGGCGATCGAATATATGGAGTTTTTGACAATCAGCTGCCTGCTGCGTTGAGGAAACTTCCACTTGACCGGCATCTTTCGATGCAGAATGTGAGGAAAGTTGTTTCAGAAGCAGATGGTTATCAGCCCCATTTGATTGCTCCTGAGCAAGGTTATCGACGGCTTATTGAGGGAGCCCTAAATTATTTTAGGGGACCCTCTGAAGCGACGGTTGATGCTGTAAGAAGTTTTTCTTGTTCTCCATTTTTAATTGTATTTAATCCACATGCAAGTTTCGTCTAAAATCTCTGGTCATATAAATGACTCACCACTTGCACAATTAGGTACACTTCGTCTTGAAAGAACTCGTAAGGAAGTCGATGGAGGAGTGTCAGGTGAGTTTTAATCCTCGTTGTTTTGCTTAAATGCTGTTGTGCTTTTCTACCTGATTCGAATGTCGATCTTATTTCTGTACTGAATCTCTTTTGTGTAACAGGAGTTGAAACGGTTTCCAACTCTGCAATCAACAATAGCTGCAGCAGCAAATGAAGCATTGGAAAGGTTTCGTGAGGATAGCAAGAAAACAGTCATTAGATTGGTCGATATGGAAGCTTCTTATCTGACAGTTGAATTCTTCCGGAGGCTTCCGCAGGAAGTGGAGAAAGGGGGAAATCCAGCTGCTACAACTGTGGATCGCTATTCAGAGGGCCATTTTAGGAGGATCGGGTCTAACGTATCATCTTATGTGAACATGGTATTAGAGACTCTAAAGAATTCGGTTCCCAAGGCAGTGGTTTATTGTCAAGTTAAGGAAGCAAAACAGTCTCTACTCAATCACTTTTACACTTATATTGGGAAGAAAGAGGTACATATCAATTTTGTTTTCCTTTGGTATCATGGATTTCTTTTAGCAAGACTAGTGTTATTTTAGCCAACTAATATTAATGTTCTTTTAAATTGCATTGTTGAAAGAAAATTTTTGATCAATTGATAATGATCAATATATACTTCTTAAGGCATGTAGTTACATTATGCCTCAATTCTTCTCAAGTTGAAGCTTGCTAAAAGCTGCTGCATCTTATTCGTGGTTTTGCTAAATATTTTAGGGTAAGCAACTCGTGGACTTGTTGGATGAAGATCCAGCACTGATGGAAAGAAGATTGCAATGTGCCAAAAGGCTTGAACTGTATAAGAAATCAAGGGACGAGATTGATTCAGTATCTTGGGTTTGATGAAGCTAACACCCGATTTATGCAATAATTGAATTCGCGATTGAAGGGTAATTCCATCTTCTTGATTATCTAAAGATATTCTCATTTTTGTCCAGTTCATTTTTACCTGTTTTAGACTTTGATGGTAGGTTTTTGTATACCTAACAGTTGTGCCTATAACTGAAACTTGCAGCCAAGTGCATTGTAGTTTTGTAATTTCATATGTTGGCAGTGAAAATGTTTTAGTACAAGAAACTAGTTTGTGAGTGTTGTACCTTCAAGCTTTTAATTTTTTATGGATTGTGGCTTGGACACATTTGTATATAGTTATACTACATTGATGACCGATATATAATTTTGTACACGATGTTGTTCCAAACGACCCAATTATAGTTACATGTTTTTCACCGGAGATTTCTAAGGTTGTCATGCTCCTCTTAGCAAAAGATTTGAGCTCTTTAATGAAGTTTTAAATATCCGTTGAGATCAACATCTTGTTTGAATGAGATTGGTCGATGAACTATAAACACCTTGTTTGAACATCTAATAGCATATCTCATTTGTCCCGTGTAACTTTTTGCCAACTTCTGAACGTAATCACATTTTCCCCGTCACTCGTAGTATGGGGAAGTACTTGCTATAATCAAAATGAAAAATATCCAAGTCAGAAAATTTAAGAAATTGCAGTTAAGTTTAATGGATTTCGATAAACAATGTTCAATCTGATTAGTTTGAGAAAAATTACAGCGAAGTAATTTGAGAATTAGATTATGCTTAAATTTCTGCGATCAATCCAGTTCAAGGGGCATATTATGAACACTATATTTTTGAAATTTAAATATGCATTTTGCTTCTATTCACTTCTGAACCTAGTCATGTGTTTCACTAGACCAATGGTGTAATGTTAGTTAAATTTGTTAATTACATGAGTTGCAGATTGCCTTTATTATAATTGCAGAAATTTAGTATAGAAAGAAATCTGATGTTCTACAATCGCTTGCCTTACAAACAAGTATGTTTGCAAATAGTTAACCTTGTGTTGGATTAAAACTTCATGATAATAAATGAAAGGACACCGTGCCAATGTAGAAGACAGAGATGGAGGCTTTTGCACATTATCGTTAATCCATGAATAATGCCTGTAGACGATAGGCATACAATCTGCCTGTTTCTAAATCTTCTTCAGTGGAAAAATTGGCCACCAATAACCAATTTCAGCTTGAATAATGCTACTTGGATATAATGGAGTTATATAATGATTTACATACGGACGATGTATCAAAAAGAGAATGGAAAGGTGTTTTTTTTTTTTTTTTTATAATCCAATTATATCTCACCACATTATCATATGTACGTATTCCATTATATATATGTAGCACAACCGTTTCAACTTTGCAATCATTTCGGGTTTCATTAGTAGTGGCAAAAGGGTCAAATAGTTCGTCGGTTCGGTTCTTCAAAGCTTGGCCCATGGACGGCTCGGGCTCGTTTCGGGACGAGCCCCAGTCGAGCGGGAGGTTCCCTTGATGCGAACGACTATTGGGCCTCGGCTTGGCTTGCTAACGAGCTCGTGGGCTGAGCCAAGCTCGACACGTGCTTGAACGAGCTTGAACTCGTTTTGTCACTTTGATGAGCCGAGCTCATGGCTTAGCCCATTGCCATCACTGGGTTTCATCCTGTTTCTGTGGTTTGTCTTTTCTGGCATGTTCCATGACAGCAAGACTAATTTCTGAATATCAACCCCTGCTGGCTTTTATGAGTTCATTTTATGTAAATAAGATTGAAAAGGAAAGGTAAGATATGGGAAATCAAGTCCATTTTTGTGCCAACAGTTTTGAATTTTTGTTGCTTATAGCTAATATAATAGTGTCAATAAACTATCATAATTGTTGCAAAGTGAAATTCTTGGGAGGGCTACTCCAGAGCCTACAATACTTTCTGGAGTTAAAAGCTTTTGCTTACAAAATTGGCTGTTCGTACATTCTACAAACTAAAAACAGTATACCAAATGTGCTGTGTGCATTATAGAATTACGGATGAGGTTGAGTTTTGCTCGAGTTTTTATTTAAAAAAAAAAAAGCAAACGACTTTAAATGCATATTTTGAGAAAATAAAAGCTGCGAAGTAAAAAAAATTCTTAATATGTATTATCAATTTCTTTTATGTATTTAATTGTTACTATTTTATATATTTGTGCGTCATAAAGGATTTAACACAATTAAAAGTTCCGTTGAGTACCCAACAGGCAACAACTACAAAAAAAAAGATGAATTATAAAAAATGTCACGTTTTTTTTATAATACACAAAAAATTTGCATGTGCACCTAATTTTATCAAAAATGTCACTTTTTTTTTGTGAAAAATATCCAACTTACCCTTATTTTAAATTTTAAAAATCTATTTTTGATTTTAAAAGATTATAAATTTTGGGCCTAAATAAATAATAAAAAAAAGGAAGAAAGAAAGAAAGAGGGTAAAGGCCCGCAAGGAGTGCGGCAGCGATCGTCGCGTTTGCCACAGAGGCAGCGATGCTCATAGGACGACGACAAGGAATGCGGCAGCCACAGAGACAGTGGCGCTCGCAGCCGCCACTGCTGTATTGCAGCAGCAGCTACTACAAACTGTCGGCGGCTCCGCTACGCTGTAAAAGAAAAAAAAAAA